TGACCTTGTGCCGCCTGAGGGTGGTGAAGGTTTCTCGGAGGTCAACAAGGTGATCCGTCTGTAGCTTGGACTTGACTATCATGTCATCAATGTACGCCTCTACATTCTTCCAAATTTGATTAATGAAGACTGTATTAATCATTCGTTGGAAGGTAGCAGGCGCTTTTTTCAACCCAAACAGCATCACGGTATAACAGAATAACCCTTGATCAGTAACGAATGCCATCTTCTCTTGATGTTTTTCCCACAAGGGTATTTGATGAAAGCCTGAGTAGGCGTCCATAAAGCTCATCAAGGCATGACCAGCTGTAGAGTCGACCAGACTGTCGATCTTTAGAAGGGGATAACTATCCTTCGGACATGCCCTCTTCAGATCTGTGTAGTCAACACACATGCGCCAGGTACCATTCGGCTTTTTTACAAGAACAACATTTGCAACCCAATCCGAGAAGTAACATTGTCGAATGAACCCAGCATCCAACAGCTTCTTTACCTCGGCGGCTGCCGCCTGACTTCTTTCCTCTTTGTGGTTCCTTTTATTTTGCCTAACCGGCTTCTTTTTAGGATCCACGGCAAGTTTATGAACAGCTAGATCCGGGCTGATGTCTGGCATCTCTTCTACTTCAAAGTCAAAGATGTCTTTGAATTCTTTTAGTAGATTGTGCAAGTCTACACCCAACATTGCAAATACAACCATCCCAACCTTAACAGTTCGCTCCGGACGTGTGTCGTCCTGGACGATATCAATGTGTTCTCAGCCGGATGGGGACGGAGATCATCTGACCATTCCCCGGTCAGTGATTGCTATTGCTTCTCTTTTTTTACGACCACCAACTGGTCCGCCTTTCTCTTTTTGCCGGCTGCCATTGGAGTAGGCATGACTTCCTTGAGTTCATCAAGGTTTATGGGCTCTTCACCTTAGCCGGATGCGGCCACAGTAGGCTTGACGTCTGAGAGATAACACTCCCTTGTCGTCTTTTGATCCCCATTCAAGGAACCTACAGACCCGTCATCTTTTTCAAATTTTAGGAGCATAATGGATGAAATGATGACAGCCTTGGATGCATTCAGTGTTAGACGGCCCAATATCTGATTATAGGTGGTCAACTCCTCAACGACCAAGAACTGGACTACCATGTGGCGTCCTTCTCCCTTTTCCCCTAACCGGATGGATAAGTCAATCCTCTCTATCGGATGCACTACTTCACCCCCAAATCCAACTAAAGGGTGAGATACTTTGTGCATACTGCTGGGCTTGTACTTGAGCTTTGCCAAGCACTTATGGCTGATCAGGTCAGACGAACTCTCGGTGTTAATAAGGATCCGGCCTACCTTCTGGTTGGCCACTTTGCATTCAATGACTATGGGGTCATCATGTGGCCGCCTGACCTTACCCCTATCCTTCTTAGTGATAATGACTTCAGGAAAGGTGTCTTTTGACGTCTGGCCCTCATCAACTGGGTTGAAATACAGCCGCCTGATATAGTCTTTGGTGCCCTAGATGGTTGGACCCCCTCCAACAAAACCACCTGCTATTGTATAAATCGGCTCTTCATCAGTGTCTAAACTATTAGCAGGTTGGGCTGCCTTTTTGGACGGATGTCCATTGTTTGTTTTCAGGGTCACTTTGGACTTCAGGATGTAGGACTTCAGCACCCCTTTATCAGCCAGACGATCCAACAACCGTTTGAGGTTATAATAGTCGTTGGTGTCATGGCCTATGTCCTCATGGAAATGACAATATTTGTTCTTGTTCCGATTTTTTACGGAACCTTTCATTGCAGCCGGTTTCTCAATAGTCACCCGGTCTTTGATCTCCATGAGCATGGAGTAGCAGTCCTTGTTAAACTCATACTTGGGAACTTACGGTTTAAACTCTTTTTCTTTCTCCATTTTCTAGGATGGTTGTTCAGAGTCATTTGCCACCCAGACTTATTTTCTCTTCTTGCTCTCTTCTTTTTTAGCCGGCTTAGCAGGCCGACTCTCTTTTTTGTCGTACTTCTTAGGGTCCGACTGCTTACTGATGGCACAAAGTTCAGTCACTTGTATATAGGCTTCCGCCTCCATCAGAGCTTCTTGGAGGGTAGCAATCCTCTTTCTGACGAGGTCGAACTTAAAGGTTGACCCGTCCTTCAAACCTTTAAAGAAGTCTGTGTAAGCCACTTCGTTAGACAGCCCTTGAATCTGAATTCTCATCAAATTGAACCGCCTGACATAGGACCTAAGCCATTCTCTATCTCCCTGATGCATGGCACCCAAGGCAAGACTTGTTTTCTTAGCAGGAATGTTCATAGAGAAGTTAGAAGCAAACAAGTACGCAAGCATCTTGAAGCTATTGATGCAGCCGGCTGGCAGGTTGTCAAACCATCGAAGGGCAATCCCCTTCAATGTAGCCGGGAAGCATCAGCACCAGGTGGCATCATCTAACCCCTGTAAGTACATGAGGTTGATGTAGGCCATCAGGTGATCTTCAGGGTTGGTGGTATCATCATAAGTACCCACCAACACATTCTTAACCTTGGCCGACTGTGTCGCCTCGGTTATCTCCTTGGAGAATGCAGAAGGCTGTTCCCCAAGTTTGAGCAGACTAAGCTGCCAGTCCAAAGGTTGGACATTCTGTGCCGCCTGACCCCCAAAGAGAGCCGGCTGTATATATGGTTGCCCATACGACATGTATGGCTGCTGAGGTGCATACGAAGCCGAATGGATTATCTGAGGGCCAGTGTGAACGGACAAGCCGCCTAACTGACTCGCTCGGTTTGATTGCGAATACTTCATTGAGGTATTATGAATGTTGTCTGGGTAAGTCGACGTTGAAGCCGACTTAGACAGTTGTTGACATTTCTTCTGCTGGATTAACATCCGAAAATCCGAATTAGTCTTCTTTGATCCATCCGGCTGAACATATCGGATGACCTTCCTTTTCCCTATTTCAGGGAATCGTATCTTGGACAGATCAATCACGGGCTGGTTCCCATCCTTTGGTTTAGGATGCGGAGTAAGCACATGGTCGTTGACCGGTTTTTTCTTCTCTAAGGGAGAAGGTTTCTTGGCCGACTGATCCCTACTGGAGCCAGCCGTCTTCTTGTTGATCAAGTCCATGATTTCCCCTTTAAAACTTGTCATGAATTTCATGAGTTTGTCTCTAGTAACTGGGGCTGCGCTTTCTGCCGCCTGGTGGTGTCCAGACGTCTGTTCATTTGGCTCACTTGGGCCAACTTGATTATTGCCCTGTTCCTTTGTTTCCAAGGGACGGGTACACCTGGTCCTGAGTGAATAGTCAGCAGCTACATAGGTGTCGACGTCAAATTCGTCACCACTGTCCTGGTCTGAATAGACCTGAACTTCGGCCGTGGGCCGTTTCTCAATAGGAGGCGGTACAAACTCATTTGAGCCATATAAGAAGTACTCTCCCCACACACAGCGCCAAATATTTCGGGGTTTTCTGTGTCCCGCGGGAGAGTTACAATTCCAAGACTAGATTCTGGGCGCCTGTACCTGCAAAACAACGGAGACTCCGGTTGGGTGGAGTTTCGCCTCCGACAATAAAGTTAGAACGTGTTCGAATGATGTAAAAAGTGCGGAAAATAAATTATCTTCTCGGATTCCAAGATCAGGAGTATTCTCTCAGTGGAGAATTAAATATCTGCAATTAATGATTGCTCTGTTTTCAGTGAATGTTTTTTTTTTTTCAATATCCTCCCCTGGTGGGAATATCTCCCTGTTTATAGGGTCTTGGAATTTGTGCCGCTTTTCTAGGTTACGGAAACCTAGGAATTTTGGGCTATCTTGGGAATTGGGCCTTGAAGGCCGTCTCTTTCCCAATCATTGGGGATGCCACGTGTCAGCAGAGGAAAGGTTCATTTTAAACCTCTCTAAGGGTGACACGTGTCACCATCTTATTGGGCCACGTGGCCTTGGGTATTTTTACCCAAAACACTGTCAATTTTAATCAAGTGACAAACTTAGTACTAAAACTGTAATTGGCCAAGATAATACACCATATAGGCCCTGTTCTTTTGAGCTGCTTTGCTCTGCTCTGTCCTGCTCTACTCTGCTAAAATTTGCTCTGCTCTGCCCTGCTCTACCTAAAAATAACAATTAATATTTCATAAAAAAACAATTATTATTTTTATTATTTAATAATAATAACTAATATATATAGATATTAATAATTAATATTTTATAATATTAATTAATATTTTATAATAATAAAATAATTAATATATAATATTAATTGATAATAATAAATAATATTTAATGATAATAATTAATATTTTATATTATTTGACACATTTTCTATTGTTATAAAAAGAGTAAAAAAATCTAAAAAAAATCAAATAATAATAATAATTATTATTATAATAATAATAATAATAATGCGATAATAATAATAATAATGATAATGATGATAATATTAAAAATAATAATAATAATAATAATAATAATAATAATAATAATAATTATGATAATAATAATAATAATATTAAAAGTAGTAATAATAATAATAATAATAATAATGCGATAATAATAATAATAATAACAACAACAATAATAATATTAATAATATTAATATTATTAATAATAATAATAATAATGATAATAATATTTTAAATAATAATAATAGTAAATAAATAATTAATGATAATAATGCGTTAATAATAATAATAATAGTAAATAAATAATTAATGATAATATTGCATTAATAATAATAATAATAATAATAATAATAATAATAATAATAATAATAATAATGATGATGAAACCTCTGCCCTGGTGAAATCTGCTTTGCTCTACTCTGCCCAGAAGCTTAAAAGAATAGGGCCATAGTCTTCTAATTTGCTTTTCGAATGACAGCCTGTGTTTCGTAGCAGTATGATGGTGACTGTTACTATGTAAGTTACAGTACAATAACAGAGAAACTTATAAAGATGCAAATACTACTAACTAACTAAGGTGGTTTGTTTTTCACCAGATTCTCTATAATCTACTTCGTTCAATATCTCAATGGAGAAGATTTATCAGGATTAGCTTTTGATGGGCCATGATTCGGCGTTGTTCTCATCAACTTGACCTGATTCTTAAATACATGATGGACCTGTAAGATTCTTCACATTGCTATTGGAGCCATTCTTTACACCTCTTTGTTGATTTTTGTAAAACATAATGTATGCAAGGTTTACCAATTGGGAAAGTAACGAACGTTCATAATCATGCAAACTTTAGCCTTTATTCATGCACTGCACCAAAAACAAAATATAAAATAAAGAATCCACCTCCTTCTTCCATTCTCAAATTTCACATGTGTTTCCTTACATATAATATTATATTCATTTTTCGCCCCTTAGGCAAGGATGGAGATAGATTGAGAGTTGGAGGCTAGCATCGTCTTCTAATCATGCTTACTGTATAACTCCTTTTCTTTAATAGAAATAATAGCGTCTTATCTTTGGTATGAACCCCTCTTCTCTCCCTCAGATGCCTTAGTTATGCTTAATTGGGAAACAAGTATCAGTCTGACAACATCTTCTTTCCAATCATGTTCACACATTAGTAGTCAGAAAGCAATAACATTTATAAAAATAAACGAAAAGAATTGAGAAGCTATTATAAGTGTTAAAATATAAGCTTAATGTTTCTGGATGTTTCAGAATAACAGTTAAAACAGTTGTGAACGCACACAAATTCAACAGAGTTTTTGTATCTGTAGATGCAAGATGCTTACTGATATGATAAAAAGAACCTATGCTCTTTGCTTTTCCAAGCTCTCAGGGCCATAAAAACTTAGCTGTCTTCTTCCTTTGGAAGAATGTTGACTACCAAAAGAGGCAGTGAAGTCAAAAGTGTTGGTTTGACAGAGATTCTAAGTCCATTGATCGATAGTGTTGCACTGTTGTTAGTGAAAGAGTATTCGTAAATGATATTTTCATGTATGTATTCCTGCCAATCAAAAGACTACTTAATGCAAGAAAAACTGCCTATTTGATTTCCTGAAATTTGATCTAGTCAGATTTTTAAGTCATTTTTGCAAATATATACATATACTTTTTAACTTTTTAAGTATTGGTTTTGCACCTTAATACAGGATAATTTGCAGGCTCTTTGGTAAGCTGCATGACATTTTCTATCCTTACAAAGTAACTGCAAGTTGTATTAGAGTTCTGTACATTTCGCCATAGCTATCTGATAGAGAATATTCGTAGATTATTCTCCTCTAGGTTTAGGATATATTTTGTATAAGATTATCTTTATGATATCTTTACATATCTTATATTATCTGACATGGTATCACAGCTTAGGTTAGATCATGGAATTGTTTAGATCTAAAATTTTCTCTTCCCCTGTCGGTGGGTTAGAAAATTAAGCCCATCGGCGGGATTCACAAACAATTACACAAAACACAATTTATTTGCTTCCGCAATTTAATCATGGAGTACGTTGGTTGACCAGCACCTGCAGCCTCTCTCGTGCTCCGACTTCCCACCACACACAAAAGATTTGTTCAGCACCTCTACCTCTTGGTTCTCCACCTGATACGCCACCTTGCTCACTCATAGTCCTCCTACTTTAGCCTAATCTGTGAGTGAATTGCAAGGTTGCATAATGTATCACCATCTCCAATGACTTATAATAGTCTTGGTTGAACCAGACTCACGAACCACCCTTTTGTTAGTCTTTTTTCTCAATGTCGTTGTTGGCAGGATCTTCCTCAACAACACCACCACCACCAACAAAGTCACCCTCTACCACCTTAATTAGTTTTCATATCGCTCGCTCTGAGCCCCCTTCCCTAGCGGAGGTCATATTCTTTGGTTGGAGCCTTATTCAACTACAGTACAACAACTTAAAGAAGAGGTGTTCGATTTTTTTTTTGCACTAGCAACAATACTTTTTTTGACTTTTTTTTAATTTATTTTTATTTTTATCACAAGTGCATAGCCGCAACTTTGGTTATTTTTGGTGGGATTTATCTCCTTATGTGGGTCATTTTTTATTTTTTATTTATTTATTTATTTTTTTTTTTTTTTAAAGAGGTAAATGTTTCAAATGGTTAAGTGGTGGGATTTTAGTAGCTTATTGAGCAATTTTATTTCTTTTTCCTCAATTGTGATTTCCCGTAGTAAGCTAGTGTCTTCTCCCCAATGATGGTTTGATCCCTTAGCTTCTTCTTCTCTGGATCTGCAACTTGGCCCAAGTCTATGCACGACTCTTCTCCTTCTCCTCCGGCCTAACAACGCTTATATCTACTGTACGTAGGTCTTGGATGTTGCTTCTCATCGTCATCACCGGTACATGTCTACTACTTCTCTTTTGATCATGGGGTACCATACTATCCTTACCGTCGATGCATGATTCAGATCTAGTGTGAGCATCCGATTTTCTCCCGCTCCGCCTACGGGGGTGTGATAGAGAATATTTGTAGAACATTCTCCTCTAGGTTTAGGATATATTTTGTATAAGATTATCTTTATGATATCTTTACATATCTTGTAGTTACCTAATATGATTAGGTTTCTCATTGTAATCCTATAAATATTGATCAATGGATCACTCCGATTGAGGAGTTTTCCCGAAATCTAACACTATCGATACATAAAGCTTATGAATAGAGAAACAAGCATAGAATATATGCCTTTATTCTTGAATTATAGTGGTGCTAAAGCCAGATAGCTTTTGCTTGCATGAGCCTATCTTTGAGAGAACCATTAAGGTGAGCAGCAAGCACATCTCCTGCTGAGCCCACATACTTTCCACCAATAAAGACTGCAGGCACAGTTGGATTACAGCCCAATTTTTGTAAGGCACATTCCATTTCCTGTCCTTTAGGATCGTGATCCAGTTCATGAACTCCTGGGCTTGCACCAAGTTCATGGAAAAGTGTCTCAATGCTGTGGCTCATGCAATCTGTGCTCTTGCTGAATATCATTGCTGCCTTAGTTTTTGCTAACGCGTTTACTCTCTCCATCTTACAGAATTAACTGCTGCCTTAGTTTTTGTTAGAATTTCTAGCATCAAAGTTGTTGGGACATGTTGGTAGTTTTGTGCTGAGTTTATGTTCATGTGATGGGATCGACCCTTTGGCATTCTAGCACCAATTTATAAGGGTGAAAAAAGCCTTCATCTGAAAAAGGGTAATCATGCAGCAGCAGATAATTTTTTCTTTTGCAGGACATAGGCCGGTGATGCACTTTACACATAGATTCGCGGAGGCTATTTTTTCTTTTTTTTTTAAAATGTATTGTATGGTGTTTAATTGTTCCTGGGTTAGTTATTCCTTGTCTTTTCGATTGAGAGAAGCTGATAAATTTGACTATATATGTACCTTATTGTAGAAACAATGAAGCTAAATCTGAGTCTCTAACTTCCTTTCATTATTCAATAGGGAATCTAGCCTTTGTTTCTCGGTCATTGCGAGTTGTCATTCCACAGCATGGCCTTTTGATACTTTATGCAGACAGCCAGAAGCACCAATAATCTGATTTGGAAAATCTAAGAGTTTATTAGTTTGACAATGCTACTCTAATAATGTTCATCAGCAAAATCTTTGTTATCTTTATTTGTATCATATATTCTGTGAATATCCAAGACTAAGAACTCCTAAGGTAAGTTTAATTAAAATGTCCCAGGCCTAATCATTTTCTTTATTGCTTCTTCCTCGGGATTGTTGATTACCAATGAGATATGAGAATTCTCACAAATGTAATCTTATATGCATTTAAAAACCGTCTAACCTATATTTCATAAATATGAATGATCTGGTGAACATGATGTGAAAATTCTCATTTATATAATGTCTGTGATCAAGTCTCTTATATTTTATCAAAGACAATTCTACAACTCTCTTTGAAAGTGTTGTCTTGCTCATATATCCTTTTTTTTCCCCTATTGAAAGATAGTTGAAGGTTGATTATACAATATACAATCTAAAAAGGCAAAAGAAGGAAAGGCAGTAGCAGGTGAATGAAAGAGTCCCAGCTCAAAAGGAAAGTAATTTTACTGCTGAAGCTGTATATGTTTACATGATCTTTATGAGCAGAATGAAGCTTTTTGGTCAGCTGAAGCTCCAATGGTGAGGCGACTGACTGTGTACACTGAGCTCTGAAGGACCAAGGCAAGCTAAACCTTTTCTTACACTCGCTTTGGACTGAGAAATAGAATTAAGAAGCTTCTTCCTAAGCAAGTTCAGAGTCATACAGGAGTTTACAGTAGATTGATGTTTTAGTGTTCTGAACTTCTGGTTGTTTGAGCTTAGGTGTTTAGTACTATGTGATTCTGTCGATTAATTCTGTTTTAACGTTGAGCTATGTTTCTGATAACGCAACATTTTGTTACTCATTAAAGTCGAATTGTCAAGGTGCATGGATATAAAATTTTTGAAAACTTATGGGGTAGCTATATTGTACTTCGTAAAATATAACAATCCAATAAATGGTCCAACAACTTAGGCTTTATTATTTATCCATTTGTCTACACTACAAGGAAAGTGAAGCTTCATGCACCAATACATACTTTAGTGAAATGTTAGAATTACAGTTTGAGTCTTTTAACATCTCCCAATACTTTTCTATAATATCTTGGAAATTTCCTTTCTTAAAAATACTCCTTTTACTCTAAATAAAACCCCTTTTAGGAAATAACCAAAATATTACCGCCGCCGTGATCACGGCTAAGGCAAGTTTTCAAAGTCTCACAGTGGCACTACTAGAAAACAGCCCATCAACGACGGAAAAAATCCGTCGGAAAACCCTGAAATTCCGTCGGAAATGGCCATTTTCGACGGAATTCCGTCGGAAAGCGTTGTCAGAAGACCCTTTGTAGGTATTTTGTGATATTCCGTCGGAAGAGACCTTTCCGACGGATTTTGTGTTGTTGGAGTCAAGTTTGACTTAATTGTAAAGTCCGTCGCAACATTCCGACGGTCTGAATTCCGTCGGAACCTACAACCTTCCGACGGAATATTCCGTCGGAAACCACTATGCTTCCGTCGGAAAGTTTAATAAAAAAAAAATAACAGCCCCCCTACCCACTGCCCACACCCACTACCCCTAACCCACTGCCACCCCCTAACCCACCACCCACCACTGCCCACATTAACCAACCCCCACCACCGTAACCCACCCACACCCTTAACCCCAACCCAACCCCCACCACCGTAACCCACCCACACCCTTAACCCCGACCCAACCCACCCCACCACCGTAACCCCACCAAACACCCTTAACCCACCCCCTAACCCACCACGACCATCCTAACCCAGATTCACGCCACCAACAACCACGCCACCAAACCCATGAAACCACCCACAACCGTAACTAACCCTAGCCCACGCCACCAAACCCCACGAAACCACCCACACCACTAGCCCACACGTCATACACACACACTACAACTAATAGGCTCAAAAATTTCAAAAAAAAAAGAAAAAATACTCAGAAAACCTAAAAATTAAAAAATAAACATACCTTGAATTGAAGAGGGCTTCGAATTTCACCATGAAAACGGTTTAACAAGGCCAAATTCGGCCATGAAAAGTCTAGATCTAGACTTTTATTGGTCGAATTTGGCCTAATTAACCTTTAAAATAACCAAAATCGACGAATTTGGCCGGAAAATGCTCCGTTGGGTCGAAGAGAAGAAAAAGGAAGAGGAAGGACGAAAGAAAAGGAAGGACGAAGGAGAAGGAAGGACAAGGAGAAGAAAGGAGAAGAGGAAAGACGAGAGGAGAGAGAAAGATCGAAAAGAAAGATGAAGGAGGAGGAGATAGAATGAAGGAGGAAGAGAAGAGGAGAGGAGAAAAAAGAAAAAAGAGGCGGATGAGAGGAGAGAGAAAAATAAGGGTTTCCGGGTTTTGTAAGCATTTTTTTTTTCAAAATTCCGTCGGAATAGGGTAAAAATCCGTCGGAAATTTCCGACGGAAATAAATTCCGTCGGAAATTTCCTACGGATTTAAACTCCGTAGGAAATTAATATGTTCCGACGGATTAATTTTCCGTCGAAATTTACAGCCTCCGAAGGAAAATTCCGTCGGAAGGTATTTCCGAGGGAATATTCCGTCGGAAGCAGTAAACTCCGAGGGAAAAAAAATCCGTCGGAATATTTTTGAAGGATTTTCCGTCGCAACATATATTTTCCGACGGACTTTTTGACAGACCGAAATTCCGTCGGAAAATTCGAATTTTCCGACGGAATATAAGTCCGTCAGAACGATTCCGTCGGAAATAGGCCTATTTCTAGTAGTGTGGAAGTCTAAAACAAAAACCAACTTTCGAAAATAAAACTTAAACTTCAGTTCACAACCTCAAAACAAAAATAAAATAAAACATTCACAAGTTGGAACCAATTCAAACATATGGCCTTTCTTAAATACCAATTCAAAACAAACATAATAATGTTAGTCCATAAACAATAACCAATAATTCAAAAATATTAAAACTAAGAAACATAACAAGTAACTCTCTACACTCTATCCCATCATTCATTCTTCAAGTACCTGTTACTTCCTCTTTATTCAACCCTCTACTAACCATATAAATAGGTCATAGTAGGGCCAATTCAAAGGAAAGCCAAACACAAACACAAAAGTACGAATCACCACATATGCACCACACTAACATGAACATCCTAACATCAAAATAAAAATAATAATTAAAACATGCTCGCCACACAATCACAAGTCAACTTACCTTTGATATTTTAATAATAACTAGCAATATTAATTATTAATAATAATTTTGGATTAAGCATCGAACGGGTTTTCTTCGTTGAAAATAGTCCATAATATGGAGCTTCCAATTAAGGAGCTACCCCAATTGGCACCTACTATGTCACACTTGGTGACGGAATTCCAGTGCATTAATTATAAAAAAAAGTACAGTATCATGTACCCTTGTAGAAGCTATGGTTAAATATAAAACCCCTAACTCTCCCCATATGTTCATACTCAAGGTATATGTGTTTCAAGAGTTTTGGTGCGTATCCTCTTACACTTTTTTAATAATAAATGGGTGAGAAATAAATTCATGAATCATGATCAATAATTCTAACTTTAGCTCTTTAAGTCATATATAAGCCTTGCTTATTAAATACATGCTTTTCTGATACTTGAAAATAAAACATACTTCCATGATTCATACATACTCAACTTATATCATGCCTCAAATAACATATTCACATGTTTGCATAGCAATTCATGTTCAACCAACATCAATTCCAAGCATATAATCAACCAAACATGCTGCTAACTCATCACTTAAATCATACTTTACAAATCCTAGCATGATGCTATGCATACACAAATATTCTTGTGCACATACGTACCTTGAATAATACCTAAACTCGGCCACACTCGCTAGAAATCACCTAACTCAAAGCTTCCTACAAATAAGAATACATAATTATAATTAATCCACTATTCTCACAAATTTCCAGCAACTATTATACTCCTTAAACCTTACTAATTAACCCAATTTATTGACATAAAAGCCTTAAAACCTTTTATTTAAGTGGGTACATCAAATCCTTTCAAAAAGACTTAATTTTTTATGACTTAAATAAAATTCCAGCAAACTTATTTAATATTAAACATCACTAATAGACTAGAAAATTATATTTAAATCATTAAAACCTTTTCCCTTTTTATGGGTAATCAAACCATAACTCAATAATTAAAAAGGTAGTGTGCATAGATAAATTTCAGCATTAATTTACGGGTTTTAAACTCATTAAAAACATGTTTAAACCATTAATTAAATAACAACATCAACCTAGGATCAAACCCTAATCATAAACATTAAATTCCCAAATTTTAGGGTTTGTAAATTGGGGTTTTTGATTGAATAAAAATCTTAAAATTATATAAATAATTTAACAACATCAAATACTTAAAATCAATGCCAAAACATAATCAAAATCATACTTTAAATTAATAAAAACAGTAGAATTAAATTTGGAAGAGAAAAAGAGGTTTTTTTTTTTTAATACCAAAACACCAAAAACAAAAAGGGGAGAGAAGGAGAGGGTGGCCAGCGGGCAGTTGGCTGCTGCTGTTGCCGCCAGTGGAGCGCTGATGGTCGATGTGAGGGGAGAAGAAGAGGGAGAGAGAGGCGTGGGGAAGAAGAGGAAAAAGAAGAAGAAAAAGAGAGGAAAAATAAGGGGAAAGAAGATAGAGAAAAAAAAAGAGAAAATCTTTGGAATTTTTATGAAATCTGACAATTATGATTTTAGAGTGAAAAATCTTGAGGATTTGAAGTATTTATACTCCCATTTTAAAACAAAAACTCATAATTACAAAACTATCATTACTAAATTCTACACCCCCTTGACTTCTTCCTTTGGGGCCAACTTGTTTGGCTTTTAAGTGTCCTCAATTATCCAACAAGTTGATCCAACTATTAAAATAAAGATACCCAATTCAAAACATTTTTATTGCCTCAATTAATGACTCATATATTTTATGCACACTTACATTATATTTAAATAATTAGTTTCTTTTAAAATGAAATGAATCATTTTAATTTATAAAATAAATAAAATTATTAAAATAAATAATTTATATATATATAAATATTATAAAAATACGGAGTATTACATTTTCCCCCATCTCCACCACAATTTCTGTTGTATATCAGGAAGTACCTAAAGAAGAGTACACCTGAACTTCTCTACATGTGTGTGTTGAACATGCTAGAGAGGGCATGTCGGGTGTGCTACATGCATGTAACACACACCTTGTCATGTGGAGGATGTACAACAAGTGAAAAGAAAAGAAAATAAAAATCATCTATCTGTTTCATTGACAAAGTTTATTTGATCAAGCAAGGGAAGAATATGGCAAGAATGATAACATTTCTACTCTGATTCAGTAATTTGTGACAGCATTTTCTAGTATGTAGTTAGGGTGAGTTTTCCAACTTAAAAGGCTACCTTCCAAACCTGGTTTCCGATTTCATATAGAGAATGGCCTGGGGCTGTGCCTCAGATGCATACTATGTTCCCTAAAGCCCCCCGTTTTTTTTTTTTTTTTTTTTTTTTTTTTTTTTATATCAGCATGAGCTTCAGAAATATGGTGCAACCTTTCTTTTTATGGGCTTCAGAAAAGTTTTCCGTTTCTTCTTTAGAAGGACCTTTGATGAGTGGACAATCACTCCACATTTTCACTTGGAACATTCATCTATACCGTCTTTGGAAGGGAATTGGGCTTGTAATGTCTATCATATGATGCAATATACTTCTTTTTCGTACCATACACACGATCTTCATACGAATTCATGCATGTTTCATGCGTGTACTAAATGTTTTGGTCCAATCCGGATCCTGCCCAAACTTGTGGCAGGCAGACTAATATGATATTACTCATCTGGTGCTTAGTACACTCATACCCTTTCTCTCTTTAGACTCTCTGTAGTACAATTCTTTGACTTACACATCGAAGGGGTAATCCTGGGATTATCCTTATTTTATAGGTTCTGATTCACTTGGACAGATCTCCCTCTGCTCTGACGCTCTACGAATAAACTCTGACATCAGAGAATTCTTGTTATACAGACTTAAATCTCACCGGAAAACACAGCTGATATTTGTTCTAGTTAATTCAATGCTGAGAAGAACGCAAGCTATCTTTTGTAGTAGTATGTTTTATGTTCTCTAAATTTACAAGATAAATACAGTTAATCATTGATAAAATACTCAACCTGGTCTAAAAATAACACACTGTTATGACTTGTTACATACTAGACTGTTATGGGCTGATAGTTAATAACATCCTGTTACAGTGGAGGCTGAAAACCAAGATTTAGTCTGGAGTGGCATTTTAAGCTGTATAGTTTAGTGTACAATAAAAATTTGAGTTGGTACTGGATTACTTGTTCAATGTCACTCCTGCGGTTCATTTCGTTATAAGTTTTTGGATCAAAGATGATATATATTGCTAATATATGGAAGTAATGGCTTACGCACTTCCAAATTTACTTAGATAATTGACAAACAGAACACAAAGTTACAGCATTGGTGTGATCATCATCATCAAAATGCTCACAAAAAATTAAGCTTTTGATATGATGGTCTAGTGCCCTATATGTGTCATCACTAAACTAGAACCAAATAGCGTTTGCTTCAATAAGCATATCTCTAAGGGATCCATTAAGGTGGGCTCCAAGCACATCCTTAGCAGAGCCCACAAACTTGCCACCAATAAACACTGCAGGAACAGTAGGGCTGCAGCCTAACTGCTGTAGTGCCCATTCCATTTCTCGGCCTCTAGCCTCTTGGTCTAGCTCATAGACCGCGGGACTTGCACCGAGGTCATAGAATAGTGTACTGATACTGTGACACATACAACATGAGCTCTTTGTGAAGATCACTGCTGCCTTTGACTTTGCCAACTCACTTAGTCTATCCATTATAAAAATTATTACAAGTATTAAGATGAAGAGAATAAACTTGTTTGTGTGACTGTGTTTCTCTGAAATGTGTTGTGGTTGAATACTACTGCGGTCTTAGGTATCAATATATATAAGGGGCGCTATGAACCCAGTGGTTGAGGAAAAAAAAACTAGTAGGAAGGATAAGGAACACAAATACTTTAGTTTTTCCTTATATTTTCAGCTTGATAATGACCACCTTGAGATTTACAGTATCAGAAATGCTACTTGTATTCAGCATCAAATAAAGTCAAAATCTTAAGAATTTTTATGGAATCCATATTAATGATAATCCATTGAAGAGATTATATTAACCATTCTTTAAACATGGTATATCTTGATGTCCATTAAGTTTGTTAACTATACTTCATTGGATTATGAAAGAACGTTGTGGCGCGTTGGTTAGCAGGAAATATTCTTCTTTTGGTAGACTAGTCTTTTCAAGGCCGTTATTTAGGTGATATCTTGAAAGATCTACTTCCTGTTTCTTAGCTTGCTAATTTGATCAAATTGCATTCAATACTAATATTGAAGTACCGAAAGTGACAAATTGCATTCAGTACTACTATTTGGGCTGTCACTTAAATAAAATTCCTTAAAGAAGTTGGCTGAACTAATAATTGTTGTCACAGCGTGTAAAATTCATTATTTTCTGGCATCATATAGTCTTGTTGGCAACTGAGCTGATTAATCGAAATAGCATAATATTGTGGTGGACAAAGAAAATAAAATTGTTTGAAAATTAGTAACACAAAAGAAGATTAATTCTTCTTCGTGCTGTATTTTTCCCATGTTGTGCATCTTATCTTTGACAATTGACATAGTAATATATTCAAAAGTCCAAAGCTGAGTACAATAATAATCTGAATGTCATTTATCAGGTATGAGAAAACACAAACTTCATCTGTAGTATTAGCAGAAAAAATGTGTTCCTTTGTAAAAAAAGATTAATTCTTCATGTTTTTCATCTGAAATTTCTGAGGTTGATCTTTGGTATACTAATATCTGTAGAACTCTGAAGCTGAGTATGTTAATAAACTTATTCTCGATCATTAGTCAGGTGTTAAAATTAACACTTTCATTTTTATTACAAGAAAAAAAAAATAAAAAAATAAAGATTTTGTTCTTTTTGAAACTTACCTATCCAAGCTAAGAAAAAAATCTCTTTGCCCTTTGAGAGCAGGAGTGATCAGCCAGTCATTATACTTGCTTACGCACGCAATTTGTTAAATTTGGATAAGGCAATAACCTTTAGAATCGTCGATGAAATGGCTGTTATTCTTCATCCCATTCACACACATCAAAAGATTCTTGATGTTCCTATGCATGCATATGCTCAACTTTCCTATCTTGCCAAACGTTGGAGATGTATTTGATCTCTTATTTTAAGATCGAAATGATAAGAGAAATTGGATGGGATAGAATAAAGTTTTCACTGATCGATTGGAGATGCACAGTTGAGGTACCAAGCTTCTAGCATCATGATAATAAGGAATGTCAACCCACTGTCAGAATAGGAGGCATTAGAGATGCTAAAGAAAGGTGCTTGTGTGACGTGTGAATTCGAAAAATTCTCAATTTTACTTGTGATGAAGAAGCTTCATTCAACTTTTTTTCGATGAGTGGTCACTTGGAAAAGAGTAGGGGTCACCTAGTAGTTGAAGGATCTATGTACATCGATGTCAAAGTATTATATGCGCTCAAGTAAGCTGGAATTGAAGAAAAAAGTCTTAATGATTGGACCTGTGTACCCAATGCTGACATAAGGAACAATCGAAGTTCCAAGGCAAGCGGAAAATGTCTACTGTCAATATAGACCACAAGCAAAGGATGTTAACATATACGAGCTCAATCATCAAAGTTCCAAGGCAAGCGGAGTATGTATTGGACCTGTGAACCAGTTATTAAACATATGAGACGAGTGAAGTAAATATATGAAAGCTGATTGTATAGTGTCTGACCCCATAAAAGCCCCGTGGGATTCCATCCTGATACCAATTGGCGATAGGAAAAGTATCCACAAGATTATGTTTGTTATTTTCTCTTATTTTTCAATGAGGTACAATAATCCCAACTCATTCATGGCTTATTTTTCTAACAATTTCCTTGCAATGGAGAGCAAGGAATTGAAGGAGAGGATGGATTAGATTGTTAACTCCTTTCCACCCTTGGGAAATCGAGCTTAACCCAAGTAAGAAGTTGTAGACACCTGATTGTGTCTCCTCGAAAACCAAACCCAGTGATGAGTACTTTTCACGTCTTTGATAATTGAGTTAGGTGAAGAGTTGAAGAGTCTCGTAAAGTTTCCTTTAGCCTTAACCATTTCTAACCTTTTTCTAAAATATTTTAGACCAAAATCATTCATTTCGTGTCTTCCAAAATCATTCATTTCGTGTCCTCTTTATAAAACGTCCAAACCAATCTATTTTGGTCCATGATCCTGGTACGATTATTAAATAGTTGTATGGGGTTTGAAAAGAGCTTTCCAACGATATATTATAAGCCCAAATCCAACTTATAACGAAGAAGTTAACGTCAAAATACTAAACTGAGCCCGAACCGAGCCTTTACCTACGACCCAATGACTATGTGGAGGGTACATTAACCTTAATCTCATTCCTAAACCAATTATGATTTATTTTAAGCTTCTAGAATCCTCTATAAGGATGTTTTCGATCCTAAATCCCTTAGGATTTATTATTAGCTACTAGAATCCTCTAGGAGGTTCTAATTTATCCTGTTTCTCAAAAAGATAAAGATTTAAAACTTTTATATCAGATAAAACATTTGTTTTATAATGATCCTAATCCCGGACAAATTAGAATACTTAAGAAAATTAGATTAACCCAATTCAATTGGAAATCGGATTCTGTACGAATTCAATCTTTTCAAAAACCATCGTTGAGCGATAGCACCATCGCGCCGCGACAGGGTTATCGCGCCGCGGCAAGGCTGTCGCGCCGCGATGGAACCTGTTTTACTTTGATTCGAATTCTAACTCTTTTTCTGACCCTTCGACCCTCTTTTTTCCTATAAATAGAGGTCGCTTCACCCCGTTTTGATTCACCAACAATCCTCATCTAATCCTCCCCCTAAGCTAAAGCTTATTCTCTCTTTCTCTCTTTTTTCTTGATTTCTAACCTTAGCCTAACATCCCAACACCATACCTCCTTCATGAGCCTTGAATACTCCTAGCTAATCTCAACGTTGCCTTCGATCTCGACGTCAAAGGTTGATAGTTCTGAGGGTTTGGTCCCTAATCTATATTTCAATTCTTATTTGATTTGTTTGGTTTATTTGATTTAATCTTTCTTGAAGTTAATAACGTATGTATTGTTTTGATAGAAAGAGGTACGAGGCATCAAAGTAAGTAATTCGATTTCTTAGTTATTCTTTCGATATAGAAATCATGTTAGGATGTTTCTTTTGATTCCTAGTATCATATTTAGGGTATTAACTAATATTTCTAATATCATGTTGAATTCTAATATCATGTTTAGCCTAATGCTTTGATTTTGTTTTTATTTAGTGACATGCTAGGATTTGTTATTAATCCATTTAGTATCATGCCTAGGATCTTGCTAATAATGTTCTAATCATGTTTTGATGATATTATTACGATGATGATTGTTGTGTCAATTATACATTGCTTGATTATTCATGTATTATTGTTATTTCTTGATCACGCTCCTTTTTGCAGGCTTAAAGGGAATTTTGTACTTGAAATCATGCCTAATAAGATAATTAATAATTTGATTTTCGTTTAATATGATTTTAATTCAAGTGGTCACCAATAATGGATTTATTTGTGCATTAATAATCAACCAACATATATTAAACAAGATTAGGGCTAACTTGTTGTATATATGTTGATCGAAAAGCGCACATGAATATCATAAGAATTAAGTAGATGTCGATTTAGGGTGGGTTCAATCTCTTTTAGGTTGGATTCGTACCATCATCCCCAAATATCCAGTCATGATTCCGGACTAATATGGAGTTAGCGATCTCCGTGATCGTGAATGGGGTGTAACCTTCACACCCGTGAACAGTTTACAAGTTCCTAAAACTTGTTGGGGACTCTTTTATCTTTAGCTTCTTTCTCTTTGGACGCCACCATGCTTACAAAGAATGATCATAGTGGGGCTCAAAGTTGGGTTTGAAAAATTCCCTACAGTTTTTTGGCGACTCCACTAGGGAGGATCTCTAATTTTGATTCCTAAAATTTATTTTTGCAATTGACTTTAGAATGAGTGGATGAGACTTGAAAGATTCTAGATATTCATGTGCGTAATTTTGATTAACATTGTGGCATAAGCATAAAAAGGTTCGCATTAGAAAGACCAACCGAAATGCGTCAAAAACATAGGATTTTTACACGTAGGAAAAGCTGGAAATATCTTTCACAACTAGAATCGAAAAGATACTACCAAAATCGGAAAAATCGTAGAACATAGAAAACTGTCGCGACGCGTTGGAACTGTTGCAACGCATTGGAACTGTCGCGAGATGGCAGGGTTTGCCGCCATGCGACAGCTTTATCGCGACAACTCTTGTCTTCTCGCGACACCACGCCAGGAGTCTGTCTTCTTGTTTTGACCGATTCTAGTACTGTCTCGACGATTCTACTTCCTAATTGAGTTTTTCCTTCTGTTCTGAACACATATGTGTTCTACATATGGTCTTAGCCCCTGGGAATTCATGCTCTATCCACCCTAACAAACGCTCCGTGCAACGATGAGTGCATCCGAGACTGTGAATTCACCAAACCATGGAAGAAAGTCTAACTTATGGGGTCCCATCCACTATGCCAACCCTTCCAAAGGTAAGGCTTCCGCACGATGCATCTGGACTCATAACCATGGACTCTCTTCGGACACCATAATTCTTGACCTTTAGAGAACTAGAGCCATGGTTAGGTTGCAAACTCATTGCATCATGATTGTGACTACTTGTGCACACCTTACTTGTGCATACTCTACTTGTGATTAAACTAACATCTTGTATTGACTTGTGTTTGTAAATAAAGTCTTAATCAACTAACCAAAGACGAAAAAAAGACCTTTGCTTAATTAATTCGTTGATTAATTTGAACTTATAAAGTCTAAAT